AATTAATCCTCATTTGAGTAATATTATTTACGAAGGACCATCTTGGGAATAAATCTCAATTACAAAGGACCACGTAAGTAATTAAAACTTATTGAGGACTAATTTGGAAAAACCCCTTATTATAAAGGACTATTTTGGGAATTTACTCTACTTAGTAACTAAACATCACAATTACCATATGTAATGACATAACATCTCTTGAAACGGAAATTTAAAACTTTTAAATATAAATTTTAATATTTTTTATTTTTGAAATATAATTTTTCTGTTTCAAAAATTTCCATTCTATTTTTATTTTTGAAAATTTACAGTATTAATACCCTTTTATTAGCGTGAAATAAAAAATTGGGTTGAACATTTACGTAATAAAATATTATTGGAACGGAAATTAATAGCCTTTTATTACTTACCATGTAAACATCACAATTACCATATGTAATGACATAACATCTTTTGAAACGGAAATTTTAATTTTTTATTTCTGAAACAAAATATTTTTCTTTCCAAACAAATTTCCATTCTAGTTTTATTTTTGAACATTTACGGTATAAAAACCCTTTTATTGGCGTGAAATAAAAAATTGGGTTGAACATTTACGTAATAAAGTATTATTGGAACGGAAATTAATAGCTTTTTATTACTTACCATGTAAACATCGCAATTACCATATGTAATGACATAACATCTTTTGAAACGGAAATTTAAAATTTTTAAACAGAAATTTTAATTTTTTATTTCTAAAATAGAATATTTTTCTTTCCAAACAAATTTCCATTCTATTTTTATAAACATTTACGGTACTAATACCCTTTTATTGGCGTAGAAAAAATTATCAATTGAAGCCTAAGAATTTGGCAATATTCAGATTAATAAAAATTATCAATTGAAGCCGTAGCATAAATTAAACTAAGGAAAGAATACATGATATATGGAAAGAATAATTGAATCGCCACAAATCATGTTCTAATTGCAAAGGAATGGTGCATTCATCTGAGATGAGGAAGGGTCCGAGCTTTTTACGGCTAAGGAAAGCTTACTTTATGGGTCATGTTATTTTTTTTATTTAATTCTCTTGACACCTCAATTTGCCACATGTCACTCCTCAATTTTGCCAAATGTCACTCCTCAGCTTTGCCAAATGTCGTGTTCATGTAGCTCCAACTCTGCTTTATATATATAAAGGATAGGATAGGATTTCTAAAGTCAGATGTCGAGGATCACCTCGTCCTTAGATCCAGCTCCATAGAAAGCATTGATGGTTGTGTCCAAGAATGAGACGTCAATCAGCGGGCTCAAACCCCGCGCCATAGCAGCCATGTGTGAGAGTGATAAACCCTAAAAACCACGCGAGTAAAAAACAAAAACCCTAATACGGGGGGCAATCAGCTGTGCTAACTCGTCTAAAAAGAGAGGATAGACGATAGATAAGGAAAGCCAGCTTCAAATTTATACTACGGAGCTTATTTAAGAGGGAAATAGGTGAAATTCTATCGTCCACCTGTACTTATTGTAGATTCGGGTGTTTTATACTACCAGAAGATTTGTTGCTTTTTTCAATGAACTTTTTTCAATATTTTCAATGAACTCTTTTCAATTGTACTAATTTTGATCAAAAAAATAAAATGTGAACAAATATTTTGGGACGGAGGGAGTACATAGCATACCAAAGAAATGAAATAAGAGAGTAGAGATGCATTAAGAAATTTGTCAGGTGTACATTTACAACCACCGTACACTCTCTCGGAAAATCTCGCTCGATATAGCTAGTGTTCTTAATTTAACAATGGGGGGCCGCAACAAATTTATGGAGCCTCGTGTGGTTGTATTGACGTTAGAGCGGTCAAATTGATCGGTTAGAGTTGGGTTCCGTCACTTCATATTTGGGTAGGTTCGATTTCGGATTTAAAAGATTGCATGTTCATGACCCAATGTTATCGAGTTCGAGTGAACCGAACGAGTTATGATCTCTTCTTTTGAAATTTTAAGTAATTCTTAGATTTTTTTAAATGAAAGTTACATTTTATTAAATAAAAAGAAGTTCAAAGGAGGAACATAGAAATGGTGGGGGACTTGCTGGTGCTGAGCAAGCCCCCCACCTCTTTGTTTAAATTAAATATGAGCAAGCCCCCACCTCTTTTTTTAAATTTTTTTAAAATGAGAGTTGCATTTTAATTTGTCTATTGTCCTTTAGCAAAAACCACTTTTGCATGTGAGTGTTGGATGATTAAGGTTCACTTTTCGAACTATATACATGTAAGTAAAAAAATTTAATATTTTAGTACTTTAAAGTTGTTGGGAAATATCCCTCCAACATGGAGAAAGTATCCAATTTTAATTGGACAATGCTCTACATATATCTTTTGTATTTGGGCTCCTTTTGTGCGTAAAGCTTTAGCCCAATTGTATTTATTTTGAAAAATGCTAGGGGTACACCAAAGGTGTACCCCATTTATCCCCCGCCCCCTCCATTACCACAAAAATGGGCAAGAAATTAAAAAAAAATTAAATAAATAAAAATAGAGTAGAAATAAGTGATGGAGAAAGGGGTGAGGGACAAATGAGATACACCAATGGTGTACCCCTAGCATTGCTCATTTATTTTTTATTGTGGTCCATTTAGTTTATGTGGCTAGTAACTAAGAGGAAGATAAGGGAGCATGAAGAGGAGAAGTGACAGTAGCAATACGCAGGAAAAACGGAGAAAAAGAAGGATTTCCTCCCCACTGTCCACCAGCTCCGTTTTCTGTCCGGAACGAAGACCAAACGAAGTCCGATCGTGCTCAAATTTTAGTATGTTGTTCCTCAAATACTCCTCTTCAAGTGAGAAAGAAAAGCAAGATATGAATAAGGTTCCTTATGCTTCAGCCATGTGTAGTTTGATGTATGCCATGGTATGTACGAGGCCAGATATTGCACACTCAGTTGGGGTTGTTAGCCGCTACATATCGAATCCGGGTAAAGAGCACTGGGCAGCCGTGAAATGGATTCTCAGATATCTTAGAGGTACCTCCAGAGTTTGTTTATGTTTTGGTATTGGATAACCTATGTTATATGGGTACACAGATGCAAATATGTCTGGAGATGTTGATACTGCAAAGTCTACCTCGGGATACTTGATGACATTTGTTGGAGCTGCAATTTTTTGGCAATCAAGATTGCAGTAGTGTGTTGCTTTGTCCACTATTGAGACAGAGTATATAACGGTTGTTGAGGCAGACAAGGAGTTGTTATGGTTGAGGAATTTTCTTGAAGACCTTGGTTTGGAACAAGAAAATTATCATCTTCATTGTGATTCACAGAGTGCCATTCACCTTGCCAAGAATGTCGCGTTTCATTCTCGAACTAAACACATTAAGAGAAGGTATCATTGGATTTGAAAAGCCTTGGAGGATAAGTCTTTTGAGCTTGTGAAGATTCATACAAGTCAAAACTGCTCCGATATGTTGGCCAAGACCTTGCCGAAGGAGAAGCTCGTGTTCTGTCATGAGAAGGCCACACTGTGCAGCATCCCCATTTTCTGTCCGGATCGAAGGCCAAATGAAGTCTGATCGTGCTCAAATTTTAGTATGTTGTTCCTCACATACTCCTCTTCGAATCCAACAGTCAATTTCTCGTTTTGATATCCGGAAGGTGGTTTTCTTGCTGCGTTTTCAAACCTGTGTTTTTGGAAATTTTTACTCTATTTTTTGGTGAATTGTTAATTGTTGTTTTTCAAAGATTGCTCCTTGATGACTGTGTTTACCTCTAGTGTTTACTAGAGAAAGAGAACTTGTTGTACTCACTTGATTCTTGGTGATTAGTGGAAGTTTAGGTGTCGTTGATGAGCGGCCGTGGTTTTCTCCCCGATTTGTGGTTTCCACGTAAATAGTGTGTTCTTTATTTTATTTCTCTTGCTATTTATTTGTGGTGGTGCTGATGATTTTTGGAGTATATAGTGCTTTGTTGTTTATCTCATTTATTTGAGGAAAAGATTTTATACGCTTCCGTTGTGTTTTGTTCCGTGCTTCTCCAACAAAAGTTATGATTCTACCTGGATCAAACTTTTAACTGAATAATCATTTAATACTTGGTATATGTTATCATGTAACACATTGATTTAATATACATGCATTGGATTACTTACTATTTCTTTATTGGAAAAATTAATAACAATACTCTGACAAATATCTGAAAATCAACTAAGTATATCATTAATCTCAAAATTGCTCTCTTTTTAAAAAAATACTCCACACACCACCTTACGTGACAATAAAATTATGTGATATCTAAATGGATTTTTAAAGTAATGATTTGAAAATATTACTTTTTAGTTTTCATAAAAAATAAATTACTTATTCATTTTCCAATTCAAATATCAATCACGTTTCTCATAATTAGGACATACCATTTTTGGTTAAAATTTTAAAGTTGAATGTTTAAAGGTGAAAAAATTGAAAAAATTGAAAAGAGTTAGAAAAAGTTACAAGTTGACTTTTCTAACCCAAAAAACAAACTTTTAAAGTAGGAAATTGATATTTGAATGGGAGGAAGAATAAATAATTTTTTTTGGATGAAAACTGATAAAAATGATTTATTTACCAAGTCATTCGTTTTAAAATTAATATAGATATTTAACAATATGATTGCACAAATGAGGTGATGACTAAAGTGTTTTTGTAGAAATAGAGCAATTACGAGAATAATGATGTAGTTAATTAATTTTTGGAGTATTCAACTAAAATGTGAAACTTTTTTGGAGTTATTGATCTAATTGTTTTGAGCAATGCTAGTGGTACACCAAATTGCCATTACCCCTTTCTCCACCACCCGTTTTTATCTACTTTTTATTTATTTAATTTTTTTAAAAATTCTTGCTCATTTTTGTGGTAACGAAGGAGGTGTGGGACAATAACATTTTTCAATTTTTTTTCTTTATTGTGTAATTTGGAGTGGTTGCCAATTGCCATCCCACGACTCTCCAGTTAGCTTGTCTCTTCGCTCGCTCAATTACAGAGTTCCAAATCACCCAACCGCCTATAGCCTAAACTCCGGGAATTGGAGCGAAACTAGTGTTTCGCCGGCGAGGATCAAGATGGTGGAGAGGAGAAAGCCTTTAATACTTTCGGCTACGAGAGCTCACCTCTCCTCCATTCTCAACGATCATCCAATTCAACTCCCGTCTTCCTCTTCCCTAAACCATACCAGTGTACTGTTGCGAGCTGGAATTCTTCAATTTCACGAGGAAAGAAATGGAATTCCACCCCTGAAGTCAGTTCCATCCATCGACTACTCTTCTATGGTCGGCCTTTCCACTTCTTCTCTCAAAAGACTCTCCATTACCTCCGGCTCCGTGGTAAAAACCTTTCCTTTTTCTGTTTCTTGAATTTATCTCTCCGCAAAATTTTAGATCCAAATCTAAGTTGAGTGTATACTCTAATCAAAGAAATGATTATTAACAGTTTCCCGAGTAGAAGTTTGATTAATTTGTTATTGGTGATTGAGTAGGGGTACACTTGGAAATTGCAATTAAATACTTAGATAGGCATTTACCCATGGACTTTAATAGACTTTTCCTTGTTGTGAAGGTTGAAGACCATCAGTAAAACCTTGCCCCTATGCATTTTTTGCATGCATTTGTAGTAGTGGTTAATTTTATACAATTATTTGGCACTATAGAATTTATTTTAATTGGTCTCAATTTACTGGGATTAGGGTGGCTACATGAGGATGATCAACTTTTAAGAGGTTTACACTATGTTTGGTTCAAGGAATTAGGAAGAAAAAGAAAAGAAAACGGTTTTCTCTCATTTTCCTTACCAAAATGGGAGGAATATGGGTTTTCCTTTTCTTAGTTCATTTTGCCTTTTCATTTTCTATTCCTTCCAATTTTTTTTCTCTCTAACCAAACAAGAAAAGTTGTTTTCCAGTTCATTTTCTTTTCTTTTCCCTTTTGAATTCCTTGAACCTAACACAGTGTTAAAGACTAGCACTTTCATAGAATTCCAGGCATTTGGCATATATGGTTCTTTATCTTGTGCTAGTTTCTTTTATCATGCTTTAATGTTTAACTGATGCTCTCTAAAATTAGGTACTTGTCAAGAATGTTGACACAAATGGACAAAGAATTGGACAAGTGATGGCCCTTGATCCTCCCCGTACTGATAAGACATTGCCCAATTGCACATCGCTTTCCTCACAATCTTCTCAGGCGGTGATTGTCCTGCCATCACATATTTATGGGAATGTTTACTCCCCTGACACTGATAGGGGAACTGCTTATTTATCTCCAGTTCTGGCATTTAACCTTAATTTTCATGTCTCGTGCTTGAAATCCACTATTTCGTCTCATTTGTTTGACATCGATGCGGAAGAAAGTGGAGATAGTAGTGCAGTAGTTAGTGTGGAAATTGAACCATTGGATAAGTTACCAAAGTACGCTACACATCTTAGGGTGTCGTTTGTTAAAATACCCGAATGTGGTATGCTTGAGTCTCTTAGAAGAACTTCGTTTGTTGAAGCAGAAGATCGTCAAGAGTTGATTGATTTGGCATTGAATCAGTACTTCACAGTTGATAGATTTCTTACAAGAAATGATCTTTTTAGTGTTAGCATTAATTGGAATTGCAAGTCAGCTTTGTGTGTTGCTTGCACCCAGAAACCTGAAAGTGGTGCTTCTGACATCATATACTTCAAGGTTATTTTTTTCAATCATAGGCTCCGCTTGCTTCAAAAAAAACTCGCAGGAAATGATTTCCACGGAAAATGTATTCATTTCTTTTGGTCGAAAGGAAAACGTATCCATAAAAACAAGTTTTTTTGGTGATATAATATAATGTCTGATCTACAAAACATAAAGGGAGACATGATGTGATTTTAAAAAGGAAACCATACAAAATATTAGCAAGGAACCCAAACACAGGAAAATCTTTTCATGTCCCAAACACAAGGAAATTGGAAAATTTCTTATTGGAAAAACTATTTCCCTTGATACAAAGGGAGATTTAGTGTTATGTTTGAAGACATACATGGCCCTTATTTATTATTATCTACTTATAATTTGAGTAGGTTGTGGACATGCAACCATCAGAAGAACTGGTTCTGAGAGCCAACCGTGTTCAGACTGCACTCGTGCTAGGAGGGAGTGCTCCCTCCGCTATCCCTCCGTATTTTTTATTTCCTGATCCACAATGTATGTTACCTTTGCAACTAGAAACAGTGAAAACTTTGACCTCCATCCTTATGCCGACATTATGTCCATCACCACTCTCTTCAAAATTCAGGGTTGCTGTCCTTATCTCTGGTTTGCCTGGTATATATCCTACTTCTTCCTCTAGCTATGCCTTTTCTCTTTCAACATATACTAGTCATCTTGTTATGGTTTTGGGACTTCTTTGTATGATTGTTTCTGACTCTGTAGTTGGAAGTTTAGGTGCTGTCTATAAGGGCTAGTTTGGTTGGGGTAATATGGAGTAGAGGGAAGGGAAGGATAGATTTTTGTTTTACTAAATTATCTCTAGTTGTTTGTCTTAAATTGTAAAATAAATTTATCTTTCGTTAAATAATTTTTTTCTTTCAAATTGTGCCTTTTCATTTTCTTTCAACCATCTAATGTAAGAAAGAATTCATAAAATAAGTATCACTCTTTCATCCCCTTCCTTCCAAATTCACCGACCAAACAAGGGCTAACTGGAATTAATGCTGCTATAGGCATTTCCTTGGGCGATATGAATCCGAAGACTTCATTGTTGTGTAAACTATGATACATATTTGCACATTAAGTAAAACTGTTATTGAGGAAAAATCAACTGGAATGCCTCTATTTATATTGTATTTTTGCTCTTGACCAACATCTCAAGAGTTCTGCAGGAATTGGGAAGACTACTGTGGTTAAATTTGTAGCTCGTCTGTTAGGCCTGCATTTGGTGGAGTATAATTGTCATAATCTGTTTGCATCCTCTGAAGGAAAGATATCTGCTGTCCTGGCTCAAGCTTTCAACACAGCTCAGAGGTAGCTTCACACTTCAGAGTAATAAACCAAACCAAACCAAACATACCATGTCTGTCAAACTCTGAGTAGGGTCTGGGGAGCATAGGATGTACACAGAGTTCCAGGCCTTACCTCTACCTGTAGGAGTAGAGACTCGAGATGATGTTTCTGTGAAAGTCCCTGGCTAACTAAAGGAAAGTTTTTGGAAGTATTGAAAGTAAAAAATGAAAAATCTTGAGAAGGTTGGAAGTTGTGATGAAGTTTTTTTTAAAAAAACTACTCCCTCTTTCCCCAAAAAAAGCTCCTAATTTGGTTTACGATGTTTGACACTTTGACTGAAACTATTTTTAGTTAAAATTATTTGAAACTTGGTGCAATATTTTAAATATATTTTTATATATTTAAACATTATGGAGTACATCAGAAGTTCTACAATAGGTTGCTTGACTATTTTATTTTGTTCAAATGATTAACAAAAATATGTAAGGAAAGAAGATATGGTTTTTGTTGGTACAAAAGAAGATATGGTTTGAACTTGAATAGTAATGTGAAATCTTATTCTGGGATAAAGGGAGTATATTTCTAATGAACTAATGTGAATTTCTTATATTAAAATTCTTATAATACTCCGTAATAATAATAATAAATATTAATAATAATCTGAATTTCCCAGAATCAACCATCATTCACAAATTCACATTGACATTCTGTGTTTAATGTTGTTATAACTTTGTGCATAGTTTTACAACTTTCATATTCTCAATTTGATTCTTGTATTTTTCTATCTCAACAAATGAATGTTTGATACAGTTACTCTCCAACAATTCTTCTTTTACGTCATTTTGATGCCCTTCGTGATCTGGTTTCTCTTGAGGGTTCACCGCATGAGAAACATGGAGTCCATTTAGAATTTGCATCTATCATAAGGAAATTCACTGGGCCGGGTGATGAAGATCTCCACTTTGAAGAAAGCTCAAACAATCTTGAAGTAAGTGCTCAATTAATTACGTCACTGTTGCTTTGATTCTTACACTTAAGTGATGCCGCATATTGATGGTTAGAATGATTCTTGTGCAATCCATTTGATATTAAAGTGATGAAATGAATGATTATTTATATAATGTTTATAAGGTTGATGGGGTATAGCCTACGGGGGTAGAAAGAGAGAGTAGAGAGAGAGAAAGCTTGTGAATTGCAATGGTTACATAGAATCTGATCCCGCCCACCCCCTTCCAAAGGGTGGGGGGCTTGTTCATAATTCTATGTGGGTTCAAGCTTTCTGTGCTTACATTGTGCTGAAATGGAAGCATTGACAATTTGTGAATTAAAAATTTGTCCAGATTGAGCAAGGAGAGGCAGGCCATAGAATAGGTGGCCATCGAGTGCTGTTTATTGCAGCTGCCAATACTTCTGAGGGTCTTCCACCAACTATTAGGCGATGTTTCAGCCATGAAATCAGTATGGGACCTTTGACTGAGGAACATAGGAAGGAAATGGTGTCCAAGTATCTTGAACACCTCACTGCAATGCTCCCAAATGCACGTGACATTAAACTCTTCATTGATTTTTCCCTAAATCACAAAACTCTAAACGATGCTTGCATGCCATGCCTGTTTGGGTTTAACAGTGTTAATCTTGCACTTGTTTTATGGTTGCTGAATTTATATAAAGCTGAGGTGTCATTTGGTAGTGTTATATATTTTCAGTTTTCGTTTTCACCTTTCTGAAAACAAATAACAAGAGTTCTAAGTAGTCTTATTGTTTTCAATATCTGGAAACAAAAATAAGAACAACGAAGCCTTTATCCCAAGTAAAGACTTGTTCCTAAATTATTGGTAAGAAAAATATTTTGTTTTCATTGTTTTCGAAAACACCATACGGTTTATAAAAACATTTAGAGTTTTATGTAAATCATAAATTTCCATAATAAATCATATGGGGTTATAAATCATTTAACAAAACAGGCTCATCAAACATGTTATATATTTTAGAAACTTGAAAAATAAAACAAAATATTTTATAAAATTGAAGTTGTTGATTAAACAAGGCTGAACCGTTGGACACTGTTAGTATAATGGTGCCCATATAATAATATCATAACATTCAACGTTTAACAGACAGCTGAAATGTTAGAAGGGTTGGTTTTGTGTGGGGTGGGGGGGTTAAAAATTGAATTTCATGTTTGTCTAAATTTTGTTTGCTTCTAATGTTTATCGCAGACTTCTACAGAGGACTTGATAAAAGATATAGTTGGACAGACATCTGGTTTTATGCCAAGTGATTTGCGTGCTTTAATTGCTGATGCTATTGTGAATATGATATCTACACAAAATGTTAATAATGGAAAAAGTGAGTTAGAAGATCTGAATGAAGACATTTCTCCGGTTATAAAGCCAGTTGAGAATAATGGATTGGTTAGTCCATCTCAAGTTTTAAGCAAAGATGATATAATGAAATCAATGGAACGATCAAAGAAAAGGAGTGCCTTGGCTTTGGGAGCTCCAAAGGTACAGTTCATTCAGAAACACTTTTAACTATATGTAATTGCTAAAAAACAAAATAAAGTATTTTTTTGTTTAAACAACCTCTTTGATCTGACATTTAACTGTTGCCAATGAAATATTTGCATACAAATCTTCTTGTAGAACAGATTCCTAATGTGAAATGGGAAGATGTTGGTGGGCTTGAGGATGTGAAAAGATCTATTATGGACACTGTGCAGGTAATGCTTTACTGCATCATGTTAACATCCTGATTCTTGTCCTTTGTTTTGTTGGATAATTTTGGAGGGTGGGGGAGGAAAGTGAAGGTGGTGGAGCTATAAAATGTTTCAAACCAAACTCCTCCTAATTCATGCACCCCCCCCCCCTCCCCAGAGTTGGTAGATTTTTGGGTGTGTTATTTTTTCTTAGCTTTCACATTTTTAGAGCCAAAGTTGTTCAACATTATTATTGTTACACAAGCATGTTAATGTTTTCTTTTAAGTATAACAATGATACATACACACCCTTTGGGACACACCTTACCACACCTATCATGTGTGGGAGGACACCCCCTCAAGAGAGATCCTCCTGCATGTGAGAGGGGAGGATATGACATGGTGTGTGCGAGTGAGTGTGTATGCATCATTTTTGTTTATAATACACACAAACTTATGTTAAATTGTACTACCCTTGTCCAAGAAAAAAACATGGACTTCCCTTCCCTCATTTATGATTTATCCTTGGATGAATAGTGTTAAATTAAGTGAATAGTGAATATGAAAAGTGATGATTTGATAGCTAAACATTAAAAGTGGAAGGGTAAAATTGACATCAGAACAAATTTCTTTGCCGTAAAAGGAAATGGGAAGAAAATTTATGGAAGGACCAAAAAGGAAAGTGAAAGGAAATTGTTTGGACAGAGGGAGTTCTTTTTTCAGATTTTGTATTTCTGTTGGAGAATCGGTGGTNTTTCTTGTTGTAATATTCTTTTAGATTTTCTAAACTATGATTCCGTCATTACTCCTTCAATGAATGAAACACGATTTATTTTTTAACCGCCTTAATTTTCCTCCCTTCCCCTCACCTGATCCCCTCTCTTCTGAACCAAACAAGATATTAGAGCAAATAGACATCTTTTAAAAAATTGAAATGGAGAACAATGTTGACATTCAAGTATAAATTTGTTCATAATGATGCATATCTTGACAGACTGAGGCACTCAGCAGTGCTGTAACTGAGTAGTTAATTATTTGCCCCTAGCATGTGATATGTCACAAATTTTCTTCCTCAATTGATTTGTGCAGTTGCCTCTATTACATAAAAATTTGTTTTCATCTGGATTACGCAAGCGATCTGGGGTTCTTCTTTATGGTCCTCCCGGTACAGGGAAAGTGAGTTCTTCGTTTCATGCTTTTTTCATGCTATTCTCTTTCAATCATGGAGGTAGCTATGATATTTCTTGGATCCAGGAAGGAAATGCCAGGGAAAGGAGAAAAATACTAATCCCTTTACATGATTGGCATAATAAAATAAAATGGGTTTGAACATGTAAAACTGTGAGATTCCATCCCGGAACCAATTGGCAATGGGAGGAAGAACTCATTGGGTGATTGACATGGGAGTAATGGGACTTTGTATCCCCAATATCCACTCAAGTGCAGACTTGGTCTTTTTGGTTCAAGTTATCACTTGATCGAATAGACTTGAGCTTCTTTTTAGAGCTTCAGAGCCTTGCAAGGTAGTCAGAATCAGCCTTGGCTCCGATGCCATGTAAAATTGTGAGATTCCTTCCCAAAACCAATTGGCAATGGGAGGAAGAACTCAATTCTTATGTGTTAGTCGTTTTGGGTGTTCGATGTGGGACTTTATATCATCAACATAACGAATATCTAAAATAGAGGTACTTTTGAGTTTTAGTAATTGAGTCTATCTTTTATTTCCCCCCTCATTTTTTTAAATTCCAATTATCTTTTATACTCCCTCCGTCCCAGAAAGAATGCCACGTTTACTATTCTGGCCTCTCGATAACTTTTGTTTGTTTACTCGTTTTGGTTGACCATTTGATAAAATAAAATATTCTTGTCGCATCTTGTTTTGTAGAACTTTTCATATACTTTTGAATGGTGTAATCTTTACTTTTTAAGTTTTTATTACTCTACTAATTTAAAAATAAAGTGATTTTAAAAGAGGTGATATTTTGCACGTCGTTCGAAGTGTTGCAAATAAATTGGGACGGGGGAGTATGTAACTTTATACCTTCACTTCCTTGTATTGTCAGTATTCCAATCATATCCGTATTGTTAATCTTTGCTCCTATTCTCCTTTCAAATACAGACATTACTAGCAAAAGCAGTTGCCACTGAATGCTCCCTGAATTTTCTGAGCGTAAAAGGGCCTGAGTTAATTAACATGTACATTGGAGAATCTGAGAAAAATATTCGTGACATTTTTCAAAAGGTAAGAGATTTTTTTTTATTTTCTTCCTTTTCCCATAGCAGAATGCTACGAAGTAAATGAATTCTCCAAGTATTTTTCATCTTATCCCACATAATAATTCATGTAGGCCAGATCAGCTCGCCCATGTGTCATATTCTTTGACGAACTTGACTCTCTTGCTCCCGCTAGGGGTGCTTCTGGAGATTCTGGAGGAGTAATGGATCGCGTGGTTTCTCAGGTAGGGTTGCTGACTTTCCTTTGACTTACATTTCCTATTTCTTCCTTTACTCAAATAATAAAAGACCATGGTTTTTTGACGCCTGTTTTGGGTGTCATAATATGACTCCGGGGTGCTACATTGCTCTGTTGGACCTCGAAGTGTTCCTACCCATAACTCCCCAGCCCACCCCTTCTTTTGAGGATATGCAACAGTGTTCACTGTAGTGTATCGGCGAAACGAGGAGGCTGGGATTAAAACCCACTTCGAGGCCCAACGGGACACCGTAAGTCCCTCAAATGGTGGGTGTCATAATATGACACCGAGGATGGGTGTCAAAAGATCCTCACTCATAATAAAATTGGTTTAGAGAGGGTAATTATATTCAGTAATTTTTCTTCATCTTTTTGATTATTTAATGTTTTAAACTTTTGCAATTCAGATGCTTGCTGAGATCGATGGTCTGAATGATTCTACTCAGGTAATTCACAGTGCTCAATCAATCAATTACTTCACTTATCTTATTTCTTTTTTCTAACTCTAATTATTTGCCATCTGGTTGGATAGGACCTGTTCATTATAGGGGCCAGCAACAGGCCAGATCTTATTGACCCTGCTCTTTTGAGGCCGGGCCGGTTTGATAAGCTCTTATATGTGGGAGTTAACTCTGAAGCATCTTACAGAGAGAGGTTAGTTTTCTTTATTTTTCTGAGTTGCTTTCACACCACACAATTTGAATAAAATATTTATATATATATTTTATACACAGTAAAAGAATTCACAAAACAGCAGGCAAAAAATTACAGTACGAAGTACTACATCCATCCCACTAGTGCCCCTTTTTACCTCTTTTGTCCGTTCTATTTTTGTCTCATACCATATTTGGTCATATTTGTGTAGCTCACATTCATTCTTAATGAATCTTACTACTCCCTCCGTCCATGTATGATCTTCCCATTACGCGTTACGAGGCTTGACCGACTTTATTTTCAATTCAATTTAATTGATTATAGGAGTAAAATTTTAAAATAAAATTTATATAGTAATAAACTACATAAAAAGATATACAAAACTAGAGGTGACAAGACTATTATTTTATGAAATGACTAGTAAAATTGAGCAAACAAAGTGAGTAAACTTTGACCCTGTAAATAGTGTCTGGGAAGATCTATGGTAGATAGAGGGAGTACTTTTTAACAACAATATTGCCTAGACAATCTTACTTTTCTTAATTTCCATGACACTTATGTTCCAAAGGACCGAGGGAGTACTAAACAAACAAAAGTGCCCTTGCAACTCCCTTAATAGTACATACTCCATGTGTTATTTGTTATATGAAAGCACACAAATGTTCTGCAGGGTTCTTAAAGCGCTGACTCGCAAGTTTAAGATGAGTGAGGATGTTTCTTTACTCTCGATAGCAGAGAAATGCCCTCCGAATTTTACAGGTGCTGACATGTATGCCCTTTGTGCTGATGCTTGGTTTCATGCTGCAAAGCGCAAGGTGACTGAATACACATTCATGAAACACCTAAACTCGTTTTGAATGCTGTTTAGAAATTCAAGTAGTGTTAAAGGCTGTGTTTGGTAGTTTGTTGGGAGATTAAGGACCTTTTTATTTACCAAACAGGTCCTAGTATCAATATATTTTCCCAACCTGCCTAATTTTCATCTGTGGTTGATGTGTGATATCACTTGGGATGCACTAACTACGGATAGTGAGATGAAGGCTCAAATTGACTGATTTTTGTATCAGTTATTGTCTAAATTCTCCCCTCATTTGGCTAAATTCACTCCATTTATACTCCGTATTAAAAAGGCATGTTTACCCTTATCTATATAAAAAGGGGGTGAAGGGGCAAAATTGTCCATTTATTATTGGAGTGGATTAGCCAAATGAGGTGTGGATTTAGCATTACCCTTGTCTATGACTCTTCAATTTGGAATAGCAAGAGCAATATCTCCACGCATAATTTGGAACGATTGGGAAAGATGTTCTCCTGAAAATAATCTTATTATTACTTCGACTCATCTTCACAAATAGTGGGTCCCGCTCTAATAGTTCCAGAAAATATTAAGTACGTGTATTAAGTTACAAAGAGGCTCTTCTTAGCTCACAACAAAAGTCTAATACACAAGTGACTTTTTACATGTTTCTTTTTGCAGGCATTAGCTACATGTACGGAAGATTCCACTGGTCCAAGTGATGCTCCAGACTCTATCACAGTTGAGTATGATGATTTTGTGAAGGTAATGACAAATGACTTTTGACTCTTATTTAGGGTGTTTTTCGAATGAAAGGCGATGAGATTGTTGGTATTCTAATAGAAAATTACTTTGGGGTACCCTCGATTTTCTGTTAAAAACTCTCAGGTCTCACATTCTTGATTTTCTGGTAATACCTTTCAAATCTCACATTATCCGAAATATAGTCCAGGATTCTTGAAATTTGGGTACATTCCGTCCATATACCTCGGAGTAATTTTCTAGCTTTCTAAAAACATTTATTTTTTTCATTTGTCTGTGAAGGTCTTATCAGATCTGTGTCCCTCATTGTCAATGGCTGAGCTCAAGAAATATGAGGCATTGCGAGAACAGTTTGAAGGACCCTCCAAATCAAATTGATTGCTATACGGAAAGGTGGAAATGGCCAAGTTATTTTTTACAGTATTATTTTTGTTCAATTTATTTTTTATTTTTTCCCTGTTATTCACAACCAAACAACCAACAGTTATACACATTTGGAGGGGAATTTACAAAAAGCCAAAATTTATGTTTCTTCAGCATTTCCATTTTCGGTCATGTGCCAGATATCGATATATTGAATAAATCGATATTACCATCCATCAAATTTGAATAAGCTAAAAAAGTGTAGATGTTGAATTAATATTGCAACTTTAATTTTACACAAATTTCGTATGGGTAACACAACATCAATAACAAACTCAAGCTCAGTAAAATCTTTGCAAAAAATAGGCAAATTTTACTCACTTGAAAATAGAGACTATTCCTAATAAGACCCTTTTTTCTAAGAGACATTCATATTGACAAGTATTTAAAAATATTAATGAAAATATAAAAAAAAAATTTAAAAATATCACTAATATCGGGATATTAAAAAATGGACTATCATATTTCAGTAAATATTGAGTAATACTAAAACATTTTGATTTATGATATCGCTTATATCATAAATATTGAACCACCAAAACCTAGAACTTTCAAAATTTGAAATTTCAATTTTGATATCCAAATTAGAATATGCATTCATACTTCCGATAAAATAAGTCTCAAATATATTTGCTAGTCCCTTGGCACTCTGATTATTCAAATAAAGAGACTTATTAGGGACATTCATGACACTCTAGTTAGTTAACCAGATAAAATAAAAATAAAGCTAATAGAGCTTCACTTTACACACCAAAGAAAAATATATTTCCTCCGTCCTATAATAGAAATAAAAAATTACGTACTTGAAAACTAAATCAAAAAATTTATATAATAGGAGGTGACAAGAATATTTTATTTTATTACATAGTCATTTAAAAATACATAAACAAATATAGAATAAAAGTTATCATGATTTTTAAATAGTGCACATTGTAATCAATTGTTGGACGAGATGAGTATATACTTATTGTTTATGCTGCACAAACAGAAAAGGTCTTGATATATCTATGGTATGCAAAGGTGGGGGAAAAACAAACCCAATATATACACTCGAGAGTGTTGTCTAATGAACGGCATTCTCCATAACCAGATGAAACAAACTTGACATATCCCACCCAATAATTCTTGATGCTCCTTTGCCATTTATGGAAACAAAAAAAAGTTTTTCAAACACTCCAAAAAGAGAAGTAAAAAGATAATATTAGGACAATAGTTTTTTTTACTCCGTAGTATATAATGTACTCCATAATTTTTATTTAATTGATACTTAATGTTTATGTAATTAAGTAGAAAAAAATTAAATTGAACAAATATTTTTTGATTAAAAACATGCTACCTTCATTCCAGTTAATTTGTCTAATTTGATTTTTTAAAGTCAAAATTGACAAACTTTAAACTCAAATTACTCACAATTTATATTACATATTAGCATAATGAAATACGGAGTACAACTTTAAAAGTTCTCAATACGGTAAATTCAATAAAGTCAATTTTATGTTAAAATACATTACGATTTTATTTAATTGAAACTCAAACTTTAAAAAGCTAAATTGGACAAATACTACCTCCGTTCCAGAGTATTTGTCCACTTTCATTTTTACATACCATCCAATACACTTCTTTAATTCATTTTATCTTGTAATTTATATATTAAAAAATTATAAAAATTATATATTAATAATTTACTCCGTATATGTTAAGACAAAACAAACAAGATCACACATGACTATATTTAAGCTTACACATTGAGAGAATTTGATGAGTCAAAGTACTTAGCTGAACAGTTCTAAAAGTCAAAACCGTACGAATAATCCGGGACGGAGGGAGTAGTTATTATACTCTTTTGTCAACAAATAAATTTCTTTTTTATTTAACTAAAACTAAATTTGTCAGTTTTTTTCTTTTTATATAGGAACGGAAGAGCACCATAAGCACACCTAAACCGCTAGTGCGAGCACCCATTCGAGGATTAAACATCACTTTTTTTTAGAGAAGAATTATGTTACCTAGGTCAGGCAAATATGACTTCAATCTATCCATCCAATCTATTAACAGCACAATTTGGTCGGACCAAAAAACACAGAATGCACTAGAGTAACTAAACAGCCAAAACCATGACAACAGAAACTATACTGCTTTAGAAGCAAATATATCTACGAATGATGAGAACCCAAGCAGTCAGGCAAGGAAGGCAACCGGTTATTTAGGCCAGGTACTTGAACATGTTCGGGTTCTCTTTGTCCCTCTCCAAGTAATCTCGAGTTATTAGGTCCTCAATCCTCTTCTTTATTGCCTTGAAATCAGGCTACAAAAAAAACACCACAAAAAAGTTGAAGCCATCTCAATGTCTTCCTTCAATAGTAAGACAGTGTTTGAAAATACTTTTTAAAAACTGTTTTTTCTTTGCAAAATTCTTTTCCATGAAAATAGATTTAATCGGCGTACCAAATCCTGCAAAACTAGACTAAAAACAATGAATCCAGGCAAGGCCATGTAAAGCACGTGAAAGAATAAAACACACACCTTGAACATACGGCTCAGCTGCTCGACGCACTCTAAAACCAGCTGCTGATGAGCCAGAACTTTCCTGCTCTTCATGATTCGCACGATGCATGCATCAATAGCATAGCGTCTATCTTTGTCAACATCCTCCACCACCTTTTTCCTTTCATCCACAGGAGGCAAAGGAATCTGCACACAGACCAAATTAAAAACCACCATCCCCTCGATGTTATCAGTACCTTGAACTCAGCCTCTGTTTGGTTCAAAAGAAGAGGGTGTAGTGAGGAGGGGAGAAAATGGGAGAGTTTAAATAGTGTTATGTTTGGTTAGAGGAATAAAGGGTACAAAGTATTGTTTTTGAAGATATCATATACATAATAGTCTTCGATAGTAGAACTTTAGTTGTAATAAAAAACAACAACCCAGGTGAATCCCACAACAGTAGGGTCTGGGGAGGGTGTGTGTACGCAGACCTTGCCCCTACTCGGAAGTAGGGAGGCTGTTTCCAAGAGACCCCCGGCTTTACCTGCACAAAAATATGGAAGGGAACACAGTATAACACAGTTAAAGCAACAAGTACAAGCAATAGTAGAAGATTCCAAACGAATACAACACACTACAAAACAACCTCTACAACACCAAGCTCCTATCCAGCTACTCTAATTCTAGTTTTCCAAAGGTTCCTATCTAGGGCCATATCCTCAGTCAGGTCGAGAAGTCCTAAATCCTGCCTAATCACCTCCTTCCAATTCTTCCTAGGTCTACCTCTTCCCCTACTTCCCCCGATAACTGTAATCCTCTCGCATCTCCGTACAGGGGCGTCAGGATCCCGCCGTCTCACATGGCCAAACCATCTCAACCTCGCTTCCCGCAACTTATCTTCCACAGGTATCATGCCTACCTGATGTCGGATAACTTCGTTTGAAACCCTATCCAACCTTGTCTTCCCACACATCCATCGTAACATCCGCATCTCCGCCGCATGCAGACGACGCACATGAGTCTTCTTAACCGCCCAACACTCTGCCCCATATAACATAGCAGGTCTGACTACGGATCGATAGAACTTACCTTTCATTCTAGGCGAAATCTTCGGATCACACAACACCCCCGAAGCTAACCGCCATTTGGCCCAAGCCACTCCAACACGATGTCCAACATCTGCATCTAACTCCCCATCAACCTGGATTGCCGAGCCAAGATATCGAAACCTGTCTACCTTAGGTACTAGGAGCGAGTCAATCCTGACTTCCACTAATTCTGTATCCCGGCCGCTGAAATGACATTCCATGTATTCAGTCTTGTTCCTACTTATTCTGAATCCTTTAGTTTCAAGAGCAAGGCGCCATAATTCCAACTTATCGTTTAGTCCCTCACGTGTGTCGTCGATAAGCACAATATCATCCGCAAAAAGCATGCACCATGGGACCCCGTCTTGAACACCTTGAGTTAGGACGTCCATCTTGAACACCGCAAAAAGCATGCACCATGGGACCCCGTCTTGAGCACCATGGGACACCATGGGACCCCGTCTTGAACACCTTTAGTTGTAATAAAAAGAATACAGAAATCCAGATGTATAACAATAAAAGTTTAGAAAAGCTTTTTTGGGGGAAAAAGCAATAAAGAAAGATATTACTCCAAAATGCCCTAAATTGGGGAGCAAGATATGAGAAGATGAGAGGAGTATATAGCTCCTCAACCTTCCTAACCCTAACTCCTTGAACCAAACACAAGAATTTGTATTTCCACCCCTCCAAAGCCCTCCGGCCAAACAAGGTCAGCTCAAATGCAAATTACAAAAATAGCAGAACCAACAGATAAGGAATAATGTTCTCACCCTGATTCTTCTCATTCTGTCGGTGAACTTGGAGTTGAACTCAAAATAATCATTCGGAGAAACTGTTCGGTTCTTAGGGTGCTTGATCAGAATATTATACTTGGCACATGCAAGAGACTGCAGCAACCTGACCACGTCTTCATCAGCCAAATTCAGCTGGCTTTTAATATCATGGTAACTCAGTCTATCTGAGGTATTGAATAGTAACAATGCAGCAGCCTGGAAATGATAAGAATAGAAAAAAAAATAGAATCAGTCTCCCATTGAAACATACAATGGGTACAGACAGATGTACAGTATTATAAACACTTCACCTGATACGTTCCCAAAATCAGTTCAATTGTTTTGGCATCAAACTTCCCATTTACATTGCATGTTCCCAAAGAATAAATCCAAGTAAGCTTCCTGTGTTTAGTTTTTGTTTGATAAAATTCCTTGAAGACCTCAACACACTTAACCTGCAACAGAATAGAACCATACAAGTTAAAGCAAAACCATCATAACATAGAATAACATGTCCTAGTGTATATAATGAATACAGGGTATATACTAAGCAAAACCCACCATCTCTGCCGGGAGACTCAAATCAGAGGATTTATAGCTAGGCCAGAATCCAGTTGTTAGAACTGTAACAGTCAAATCAATTCCAGGACAAGCAGCTGGGTTATTGTTAAGATATTCTTGGAAATGATTCTGATTTTCCTTTGCTAATGTCAAATCCGTAACCTAGAAAACAAGGCAAACATAATAACAATAAAAAGGAGAAGTCAAAAGAAAAATTCTTTGCAGGGAAAATTCCAATAAATACAAAAAAAACTCTACTCACCATCCCCTCCATCTTTGAGGTGAACTGCCCACCACACTGCTGCTTCAACTTTGTTAAGATAAGTCTTTCGTGATCATCATTTGCACTTTTATCAAAAAGCAATCGACGAGACAGCTTCTTCCTATAAAGAGCCAAAGGATTAAATATAAGAAATGATCATTTAGAAACATATACCAGAAATACTAAAGAACAATTCTTTGGCAAGTCATTAATTCATCACCTGTAAAACTCAGCAAAAAGATCCTTATCGCTGATATATGCCAAAAGCTTGACAACCTGCAAAGTGCATAGTGCATACTATATTAGCAAAAAGAATCTTTAAAATAAATAAATGTAATCTCCAAGTTATTCGGAATATATAATCATGTCTGCCTAGTTTGTATTTCATTACCTTATCCAATGTTTCCTCAATATCTTCATCACTGAGCTTTTCGCTTCCACCCTTTTTAAGGATATTATCACAATAAGACGCCAAGAGTTCAGCACTGGAGCAGCCACCAACAACTTTATTGCAAAAAACCTCAAATGCTTCTTTTAATGCCTAGAGGAAACCAAGACTTCTCATTAAAAATAAACAATACATAAAGTGAATAACAAAAAACACAAAGGCGTATTTAGCTTACCTTGTGAAAGAGAGAATTGTTCAAGAAACAATTTGTCACATACAACATATACTTGTCATGAAGCTCGATCACTTTCCGAACAAAAACCTTAAAAGCACGATATCCATAAGGGCACAAATGAGTCTTTAACAATAATCAGAAAAACTATTTTAAGCTATGTTAACTGTCGCATTATAATTTTTTATTTGTTACCAAAAAAACACTGTATAGGACTCTTAGATTAAAAATCTGCATAATATTAAAAGTATTTACCTGCTCCTGTGAACTTCCCGTAGCACTTTCAGCCTGTATACAAATTTATATTAATACTTTTATGCTTAAGTAAAAAACCCAATAAGCTAATAAATATTTTTAAGTCCAATCAAGAAAATAGTAACAGTAGCAAATTCAAACAACTTAAGCACTATTAGTTTGGCCAGGCATGAGATGATACGGAAAGACTATTTTAAGCAACTTTAAGTGTGGCATTATAAAATTAATGCGTATTTATTATTTTCTACCAAACATTTTTCTAGAAAGTCACTTACACATAATATCATTTTTCACACACCAAAATAGACAATAAAAAAACAGAGAAAAATAGAAATAAAAAAAGTGTCATGAAAACCACATACTCTCTCCATCCCAAAATATATGTCATTATTCACCATGCACATGTCAAATTTTATTCTCTTTCTTTGCTTATTTTTGTTACTCGGTAAAATAATATAGCCATGTCACCTCTTGTCTTGTTTTATACATCTTTTGATGTAGTTCTTTAATATGGAGTATATAAATTTTTATTTTAAAATCTTACACCAATATTTTAAGAAATTGAATTGGAAATAATTTCAATCAAGCTTCATTAACCATAAAATGACATCCATTTTTGGACAGGAAGTATTCAATGCTGTAGCAAAAGATTTTCAATCAGGTAAATGTTTTTGATCTATGAGCATAGGATACTTTGAAGAATATTTTGAGAAAAATATTTTACTCTAATCAAATGGAGCCTTAGTTCCACAACAACACGCCTAAAGATGTTTAAAAGCAAAGCCATAAAACTTAAAATGCAGCAAAAAGATATATATCTTGTATTTTTAGTGGGGTGCCAATCCCTTCTCTAAAAAAATGTGAGGTGTCAATCCCATCAAGGCAGCAAGAATTTCAAAATTCATTCAGGTATTCAACAAGAATAGAATTATAGAACTTAGGAGTTAGTAGATAGTTGTGATATAAGGGTGAGGGTGATGAGAGAGAGGCTAAGAATTTTTAGGAACCATACTTTACTATGAGCTGCATCTTCAGCCTGTTGCACCAACATCATGCCTTCAGTGGTGACATGCTACAATAAACAAATGACAAGAATGCCTTAGCTCACATGCCCAATGCATAATTAACAAAAATGGGGGTAATAAATAAACTAAAGTACCTGCTTAAACATATTGGCAACCAAATCTAATCCTTTGGGAATCTTCAGAAAAAGCCTATACATCCTTGACAAATCTTGCAACTGACATAAAAATGGGGAGATGGAGTAATATATTAGCTATAGACTCAACAGATGAAAATGATAATTTAATTGTGGAACAAAAGATTTGTACCTTATCATCCCTGAGCAGTGCACGGCAACCAGAATGTTCCTTTTCAAGGAGTTGATTGGTGTATACAACTAGCAACTCATGCTGCACTTTCTATAGCATAAAGAATTACAAAAAGTGAGCAATTTCAAAAAAAAACATAAGGGCACAACTGATGCATTTTTACAGTAAAAAACAGATGACGAAAACAAGCCCATTACAACCCTGGCCCGTTAGAGTATGGGATCAAGATGTAATCAACCTTACCCCATAAAATTACAGGTCATTTCTATTAAACCCTTGATGCATATACCGCCCAAAACTTCATAGGAAGTAAGAAGAAAGGGAAGTTTAATGTGTCATTTTATTTAGTCCATTATTACCCAAAACTGAAACATTGCCAGAACTCACAACAGTAGCAACAAACCAGTATAATTCATACTTTGTTGGGGTCTGGTGGTCAGTTTGTCCACAACCTTACCGTTCTAAAATACAGAAAGGCTCTTTCTGTTAAACCTTTTGATGCATTTACTTTTCAAAACTTCATAAAAGGGAGAAGTAGGGAATTATAATGTACTATATTGATTTTTCCCATTATTTACTCAAAGCTAAAACATTATAAACTGACTCTTCCAGTAAAAAACAACAATGAGTTCCTAATTAAATAAAAATTGAAACTAATCATCTTTGTAACGTCATTATCTAATGGATTGCTTTATATTACAAGTAGGGCAGGTGTTGTATGTTAAGATACATACCTCCAAGAGCTTGGCTTCACTACTGGAATGTAGATAATGAGAAACTCTTTCTTTCTCCTTCTTCAAACACTCTTCCGCCTGCCGTTAGAGAGAACAGAAGAAGTTAAGCTGCATCTTAGAAAGGTTACACACAGATGGGAACTAACTAAAGGAAGAATAGATGGATGAATAAAATTTACCTTCAACATGTAATCTGGACAAGAGTCTTCAACTATCCAGTTTGACGCCTTTCGCGAATAATAAGAAGCAGTATCCTTGAGCATGGCATCTTCAAAATCATTCTCGTAGTATTCCATCTGTCCCATTCCAATTTCAACAAAAATGTCTAGTACATTCTTGAGTAATGCTCTATCAATATACTCGCCCTCACGTTCTTGATCAATCTGGTATGGAAGTATTTTTGTCAATGACAAATGTGTTGCAAATGTCTGTAAAAATTGTGAAAATAAATGAGGAGACAAAAGACTTACCAGAGCTATAACAGCATCTCTAGCTTTAATATTTAACTCCTGGTAAACCTGTTGTCAAGGAGGGTGTAAATGCTAAGAACAAAAAATATCGTCTAAAACAAAGTTTAACAGAAAATATGGGAACAAACCAGATCACGGAAGCAAATAAGCCCAACGTCGCGAAGAGGATGAAGTGATCTCCTCGTAATAAAGTATCGATCAAGATAGTGGAAAAATCTAGAAAGCCACCTGACCATAATTTTGTGATTTGCCCATCTTTTAACAAGCTCCTTTAGCATGAATTCGTCATGTTTCTCTCTCAAAGAGGGCAAAACCTACAAATTAAAGAAATGAAAATTGGATCCAATAATAAATCATCTGAACTAACTTAGAAGCATAAATTCTTACTACTGAATTGATGTAGTCATCAAATGCTTCCTTGTATTTCTCATAAAGCTGTTGAGAAAAATCATGAGGAGGTTTCTGTGTGCACATGTTATAGATGGTGCTAATGTATAATTAAGGAGAAACAACAACCAAAGCAGAAGTGATAAAAGTTTAGAGAAAGAACCATCACTGTCCTTTTGTGTGCATATCATAGCTAGATAGTGTTAATAATGGAAAAGGATACGTGTACAGCAAAATATACTCTTCAGAGATAAAAGACTCGGATTCCCCTTCCATGATCTTCTTAAGCTTTGAAATTCCCTTTTGCATAAATTCCAATCCTTCATTCAGCTCTATTATCTTCACTTGGTTCATAGTCATCTTGACTTACTTCACTTATATCCTCTGAAATACAGAATAGCAAAAACAGTTAGAACTCAATATGATGCATCAAAATAGAGCCAGTGTAACAGAACAAGAGCATGAATTAAAGAAAATGCCTATATGGTTACACTGCACACAGATAGAATGTGTGAATGTACACTGAGATTTAATATTCTGCAATCAGCATGAGAGTGGCTAAGAATACTCCCACTGACCAACACTAGCTAAGCAGGGAGCATAAAATATCCAAGGAACAGAAAGTTAAAAAAGGACGTGCTCTCTCAATAAATACAACTATAAATGTGCACTTATTGCAAAACATCAATGAGTAAAATGCAAGTTTCTACGCAACAAGAAATCTAACAACGAAGTACAATTCTAATTGAACATTTAAAAAATTACAAACAAATTTCATAATGTAATAGAGCTCTTAATAATCAAAACACCAACATACATATGAAAAGGAAAAACGTAAAACCAAATCAAGCTGCTGCTAAAAAAATTATATGTAACAGGGCAAATACTGATCTGAAACTCGAAAATAAGAGCTGCGGAGTAGCGCTTCATACACATCAACGACAAAGAAGGGCTAACAGAAGATCTACAGCGCAGTATAGCAGATTTCGAATTTCGACCGTACGAAAAAGGCTTAAACGATAAAATAACATCTACGATTATGTTTCGTATCTGAATAAACGAAACAGGACATTATTTGCGTTTGATAATATATACCGAGTAGGGAAGGAACGTACGGTAGAAGAAGAATGAACTGAAGGAAGGAAGAAGAAGAAGGGCGAATTGGCCGTCAATTGGGAGGGAGGGAGGCCGCAGAAACTCCAAATCAATACGGAATAAATGATTGTGAAAGTCCGAAGGATTCAAGGGTTCTGAGTTTGGATGGATATATAAGGAAAAAATTAGTTAAATACAGAGTAAGATATGTACTATTTGTCTACTTTCATTTATATACATTATCCAATACACTTCTTTAATCCATTTTATTTTGTAATTTGTATATTAAAAAATTATAGAAATTATATATTAATAATCTATATGTTAAGACAAATCAAACAAGATCACACATGATTATATTTAGGCTTACACATTGAAAGAATTTGATGAGTCAAAGTGCTTAGATGAACAGTTTCGAAAGTCAAAACTGAACGAATACTCTGGGACGGAGGGAGTAACAAACTAGTCCCTCTCTTGTTTACTAAGATTAATCGATTCATTTTTCAATTCAATTTATTTTATTTTAGATTTAAAATTAAAAAGAATTACATATTTAAAAAATAATCTACAATTTTAAAAAAATAAAAGGTGACAAAACTATATTATTACGGAGTAAAAAAATCTGTAAAAATAGTAACTGAGAAGAACGTTTTAGGACGGAGAAGTATATGAAATTTATTACGGAGTAAAACAAATCTATAAAAATAGAAGTTAACTAACGCTCATTGCCAAATTATATGGTACAAGCCAATGTATTGTACATCATGACAAACTTGTAATTAAAAAATTATTCCAGAAAACACTACATTGTTTCTGAATAAACACTATGTTATTTCAGAATGAACACACTACACTGAGAAGATTTGGAATGAACACTACGTTACTTCACAATGAATACTACATTGATTCAAAATGGACAATTGCTAGATGTACCTAGCTCTAGGTACATCCGAATGTACAATATAGGCTCTCAAAGCTCATATTGCAAAATATGTGCAATATATATTGTACTGGTGGCAGAGAAACTAAGGATGGGAGATTTCCTTGATGTTCTGATGGATCTCTGTATAATTGAGAATGAAACCAAGACTAAAAAATGAGTCTAAAAAGACAGACTCGAATGGTCCACTAACTGGACCATGGGAAAACCACGATCGACCGTTGTAGTCACGGAATAAATCCGGAGAAAAACATGCTACAGATGATCGATAATTTTGGACCATTCCTATATAACGGTCGACTGTTTGAAATGGGGATTAATTATAAAAGTTGGCGCTACATACGGTCGATGCTGGTGGACCGTGCACCAGCAACTGCCGACCATCACGGGAAGATGGAATCCGAAAATTGAACGGTCAAAGACTTGGACCGTTGGTGAGAAATGATTGCTTGTTTAGAAGACCTGTTCTAGAAAAAAATTTGGAAGAATAAAATGGTCCACGAGGTGGAATGTGACAAAGAAACGGTCGACCATCCCGCGATGGGTAAGGTGTGGAAATATCCACTTAATTTCCTATCTAATCCTAACCATGCATGATTTCTTAACTTGAATGTAATCTTCCACATCAATACTCCACATTGACCCTTGATATATATTGTTTGAGAAATATTCCAAAGGAGATTATTTTGATTCAATAGGGTGGATTTTACCAAAGGTAATCATCATTGTCATTACATGGTAATTAAGGAACAAGCTTGGTTGAAATAGACTAATCTCACTTGGATGTTCTTGGTGGTTAAAGGGCAAAAATATTATAGTAATTGGTGTCAGTAAAAAAAAAATCCTTTTTTAACTGTTCAAAAATATTCTTTTGAGTCAATTACAAAAAGTGTGTCAACATTTTTTAAAATATCTTTTTAGATATACAGTTTTTTGTGGTGGAGAAAAATATCCTTTAAATATTTTTCGTGTGCATCAGCCCTTTGGACCGTGATCTGCTTTGAACCGGTCAATCGGCCAGTCAAACCGATCCGACCACCTTTTTTTGCAATTTTTTTCCAAAAGCATAGGGATTGATCCTGGAGAGAGCTTACGAGGTCATGAAAATTCTATGGTGGATTTAAGTTCCACCATTAACCTACATATGAGCAAAATAAGCATTTTTTACTACTTAAATAAGCATTTGTTTTTTAAATAAAAAAATTTAAAAAATCTTTTATGTGAGAAGGTCCACAAAAATGATATACACCTAAGGTGTAGTAAATAAGTACTCTGCAGGACAATGTGCCGTCTGTGCGAGCATAGTATTAAAAACCAAATCGGACTGGCCGGTTCGAACCATGAACCGGTGGTCCAATCGATCCAGTCTAGCCCTTTGGATCGTGATCTGCTTTGAACAGGTCCAAATCGGCCGGTCAAACCAGCCCGACCATTTTTTTTGTGATTTTTCCAATGTTAGACAAGGCGTGCAACTCTAGAGGGGGGGTGAATAGAGTTGTTGAGAATGATTACCGATTTTCGTAGGATAAATAAAATAAACGTAAGTGCAGCGGAAATAAAAGAGAGAAGGCAAAGAACACACCGATGTATACTGGTTCACCACCTCGTGGCTAGTCCAGTTCCCCGAGAGACTCTCTCGAATCTACCACTAGTTTCGTTAAGCTTACGGGTGCTTAACAAACCGTTTACAACTCGAGAACTTGAATCCCACAAGCCTCGACACAACCGCTCGTAGATATGCTCTCTACAAGACTTCACAACCAAGACTTAAATCACATAAGCCTTGAACAACAAGAAGAACAATCTTCTTCAACCTCTCAGCAATAACTCTCACAAGAGTAGAAATGAGAAGAAAATTAAGCTCTATGGATGACAAGAACACTCTCTTGAAAACACTTAGTTTTCTCTCAAAATATATCAATTTGAGGAAGAAATGAATGGAGGATTATAACCTCAAGATTGGGGGAGTTTAGGAGTGCTTGTTCATTTGAAAAATGACCAAGGAAGAGTGTTTAAATAGGGGTTGAAGGAATATATCCGTTGGTCCAAGAAAAGAAGCTGGGATGAAAAAATGCAGCATAATAATCGATTAATGCAGTGTCAATAATCGATTAATGCAGTCTGCGCAGAGTTCCTTCAACGCGTAAATAATCGATTAATGCAAAGCTATTAATCGATTAGAATGGTCTGAGTAAACTAATCGATTAATGGGAAGAAAAAAATCGATTATATCAAAGAAGCTCAACACGAAGTAAAACTCAATTAATCGATT